GGATGGCGAAGCTGGGGGGGGCGCAGGGCAGGGGCAGCAGCTGCTCCTGCCAGGGCCCTTCCCTGCTTCCCAGCCCCTGATTTCTTCTTTCTTCAGTGCAACGTGGGCTGGGCCGGCAACGGCAACGTGTGTGGGCAAGACACAGACCTCGATGGCTACCCCGACGAGCCCCTGCCCTGCATCGACAATAACAAGCACTGCAAGCAGGTGGGTGTCCCGGGGAGGAAGGGCAGCATCCTCGGGCAGGGGGTGCTGGGGCTCGGGGAGCCCATGGCAGGGCTGCGCTTCAGACCTTGTCTCCTAACGCTGCCTGTGCCTGCAGGACAACTGCCGCCTGACACCGAATTCGGGGCAGGAGGATGCCGACAACGACGGCATTGGGGACCAGTGTGACGATGACGCCGACGGTGACGGCATCAAGAACGTGGAGGTGGCTGTGCTGGGCTGGCGGGACGTGCCTGTGGCTCTGGGGGCTGTGCTGGGCAAAGGGCTTCTCCCTTTGGCTTGGCGCTGACGCCCTCAAAATGCTTCTCCTGGGGATCAGCAGGCTCTGGGATGGTCTCACGCGGAGTAGTGGAGATGTCCTCCCACCCTGACCTGGGTGGGACTGTGGCCTCTTGTCACCTCCCCCAGTGTGAGCATCCCTGTCCCCTTCCCTGCAGGACAACTGCCGGCTCTTCCCCAACAAGGACCAGCAGAACTCAGACACTGACTCCTTCGGGGACGCCTGCGACAACTGCCCCAACGTGCCCAATAACGACCAGAGGGACACGGACAGCAACGGCGAGGGGGACGCTTGCGATAACGACATCGATGGGGACGGTGAGCGGCTCTCGGGGCTGGGCTGCGTGCTGTCCCCCCAGGCTGGGGGGTGAGGGCATCCACCCAGCGCTGTCCTTGCAGGCATTCCCAACATGCTGGATAACTGCCCCAAGGTGCCCAACCCTCTGCAGACCGACCGGGACGAGGACGGCGTCGGGGACGCCTGTGACAGTTGCCCTGAAATGAGCAACCCCACTCAGGTATGGCCGGGGCCAGGCAGCGCGGGCCGGGGCAGGGTGCCTGGGGGGTGCAGGACCCTGCCCAGTGGTGGGGGGGGTGGTGGGGGTCC